GGAAGCTATAGGCTGTCGCTTTCATACATTCCAGCACGAATAGCCGAAGTTTGTAGGATTTTGTTTGAAATATATCTCGCTTCGTCTCCGATTTGCTTTTCTAAGTTGGGTTTGATTGATGTAAATCGTATGGATTATCATGATTATTTTGTTTATGGGTGACATTAATGTTATGATGTGATATTGAATTCTACCCTCCTAATTTCCTTCTTTTGTCTTGTTTTTATCGCATGTGAAACTCCTCTCGAGTCCTTATGGATTCTACTCCAACTCGTTGCATTCTCTCGTGGAGCCGTAAAGGCTCAAAACATATTCTTCGAGTCGTAGACCCCCTCAAAACTGGCGTACAGGTTGAACAAAAGAAGAGAGCTGCTGGAAATTAATTTACAGGTCGGAAAACCAGCAGCTTCAGTGCTGGAAAGCAAGTTTTGTAGATTTGAGAAGCTGTATACCAGCTGTATACATCCGTTATACACTGATATACAGTTTGAAATGTGCACAGGAGGCCTAATCCAAAATCTGGGTTGATGGAAGTGAAAATATGCTTCTGGAAAGGGACTTTAAACTTTCAAAAATCAAAAATCAGTCTGATATACATTCTGTATACACTGATATACAGACACGATATAATATAAATATGTGTAAAAAATGTGATTGGCAGGGGAACGTAGAGGGACGCCTATTCTAATTAAATTCAGAATTAGGCAAACAATGCGGACGTAGGGTGCAGCCCGTATACATTAGTATACATTATCGAGCGACGATATACACTTGTTAAGTAAGTTTTAAAAATTGTACAGGTACAAATACGCAGGGAAATACAGGGGAAATGGCGAAAATGTGTATTCAAATAGGCGCAGGGCTTGAGAGGTCCAAATGGGTCAAATATATGCTGTATACAGCATGTATACATTTGTGTATACTTTGTGATTCTTTTTCAGGATTGGGCCAGGGCCCTTCAGCCCCCCTTTTATTAACAGGCCCAAAGGCCATTTGTTTCTGCAGGTTTTAAAGAAGGTCCAAGTGTAAGGATTAGTTTATGACAAGTGGGCCAAAGCCCAAATGAAAGAATCTGGGCAATCAAGCCCAAGTTCAAATATTTCTTTCTCTATTATTTATTTGTTTGAATTATTTAATATCTTGGTAGGATTTTAATAATCTCCTAAAGGGTAGCCATTTTTCATTATTTTAAATTTTACTATTTTATTCACTTTTATCACCATTTAGTTTTCCTTAAATTAATTCCTCTAAACATTTCCCTTTAAAAAAAAAAAAAAAGTAAAAAGAATGAAATACAAAAATATCAAAATGAATTTTCTCTTACTTCGTTAAAAATTTTATTTTAAAAGTCATTTAGTCAAATCGCCGGTCAACCGCAAGTTAGCGGGCATCCCGAGGGCCTAACACCTTCTCGAGATGTACATTGAACTTCGAACCCTTTTCAATTGATTTTTAATCTGTTTTTTAAATCTTTTGAAGTTTTTTTCTTGATTTTATCGAAAATCAAGTGGCGACTCCGACTTTGAAGGTCGATTTTTCTTAAACAATAAGATTAATTGATTTTTCGAAACCTAGTCAATTTTTCCATTTTTAAACCAAAAAAAAATAGTTAATAGTAATTTTTAAATAAAACATATAAAATAGAAAAAAAAACAAATTACAGTGTTTTGACGTAAGGTAAGTGCTTATGTGTTTTCTAGGCTACATTTGCACATGCTCCTAGAAAGGAATGTGTCATGTATTAGAAACCTCATTGAAATTACCTCAAAAATACTATTCCCACTCAATACTCATATTATTTCATTTATTACTTAAACGCGGAATTCTACTTTGAAAACGACACATTAATTCAATGTATGACAAACTTAATCAACAAGAAAAAGAAAATAACATAACTTGAATAACACGTACTAATATGATATTGGAATTAAATTCCACGTACAACTTTTGCATATATATGTGAAACAACACCAACAAAAGTATCAATTCTTACTTCTAAATTCTCATATTTCTTCCAAAGTTTCAAAAACTTCGTATTATACAAAAAAAGAAATCCTTATATTTTGATTGTTGATTCCATATAAACATGACAACCATGAAAAGAAGCAGAGAAGATAATGGACAAGTGGAAGCAGAAGCCATGGCTAATTGCGCCTTGATGCTTTTATCGCGTTTAAACAATAACAATGACTTTGCATGCAAGACTTGTAATAAACGATTTCCATCTTTCCAAGCCCTTGGTGGACATCGTACAAGTCATAATAAAAAACCAAAATTACTTGGAGAAACCAACCAAAAGAGTAAGGTGCATAAATGTTCTATTTGTGGTATGGAGTTTGCATTGGGTCAAGCATTAGGCGGACACATGAGACGGCACCGTGATGAAATTAATAAAGTTACGTCTCATGAAAAGACTATAATTCCAATTTTGCACAGCAGCAAGAGGATTAGCATTTTTGGGGTTAACTTAAACATAACACCCAATGTTGATGATTTGAAGTTATGGCCGATCGAAGAGGCTCCATCACCTGTCTTGCGAATATTTTTTTAAGTCAACTTGTAATTCGTTGTTATTAACTTTTAATTAGGATTAGGAGAATTAATTAGCTTTATGCAGTTATTTGTGGAATTCTTTCCAATTCATTTTGTTTGTTGTATATATAATCCTTAATTAGTTATTTACAAATGATTTTTTTGTTACCTTGAGCTTATTGACTTTATTAGTATAAACAACATCGAACTTATATATAATTCAATCAAATGTGATGCAAATGAAATATATTTTATGTACTACTGCTGCGTTTAAACTCAGATATATAACATACTTTCTCCGTTTCTATTTACACGTCGTTTTCATTAAAAATAAATATTCTTTAATATTTATTACTTCACGAAATCACTGCATAAATAACATTTTTCTTCTTAGTTTACCTTTGAAAGTTGGTAGTCTTGAATGTATACATTTAACCAACATAAAATAATAAAAAACTAAGTGAGTAATTCATGTTCTTTGATTAGTTAATCAATGTAAGTTAATTCATGTTTATTTATTGAAAACATGAGAGAATATTAAATAAATGTAAAATGATAAACTTATCTAATTTTTTAAAGAGCGTGAAATCTAAAATGATGACAACTAAATAGAAATGAGAAAATAAAAGTTTAACTGTTTCCATTAAGTGGGTCCAGAAAAGGGTGATGGATATTAAAAAATTGAAAATTACTTAGAAATAAGGTGACAAACCAAATGAACTGTGCACATGTGTTCGCAAGTAACATCTTGTTCAAAAGCAAACACTTTTACTTTGTAGAATAATCAAGCTAAACTCTAAGTCAAGTACTATAATACAAAATGGTATAAATATAATTATTTAATTTACTATCGCATCATCGGTTAACTCATTAAAAAAAATCTCAAATCATTAAGAACCAATAACCCTATAACAAAAAAAATTAAATCATTATCGAAACTGCTAAACTAATTGTCAAATACGATAAATCAATAACTTTTTTTCAAAATTCACTTCGATTTTGAACTACTACCCTTTTTATGTTTTAAGTAATACTTGTTACAACTTACATTGAACGACAATTATACTTTAGATCAATTTTTTTAAAAGAAAAGTTATAGTTAATAGTAATAAAATCATTTCTTAAATTTTAAAATTAGACAAGTATAAATAAATGAAGTAATTAATTATGAGACGAAAAATGGTGTTCTTTCAAGCCCATAAAAAAACGTTTAAGCATCGTTGTTCTAGAAACCTCAAAGAACCCAAACTTATGAAACAACTTGGAAGTGTTCTAGAAACCATAAAGAAGCCAACATTGATATATTGCCTATTGGGAGAAGAAAATTATTTGTATTTGTTTATTTTTTCTATCCGTTATGTTATTTTGGGATATTCAATAATATTTGTCTAGTTTATAAAATTAAAACTAACAATTTTTATTTTGTTTTTATTTTATCTTTGTTATTAAATACTATTCATTTTTCATTGTTTTGACGATTGATATTTAATAAAAGTGATTTGATAAAATTAAATATATCATTTACTGCTACTTAATGCTTGTATTAAGACCATAATGAACAACTATTGTTAAATAAAGGGAAATAGCTTTTAGATACTTTTTCTATCTATTTTAACTTATATTTTTTTTATTTTTACTTTTGCACATTTTTATTAAAAATAAATATTTATTATTATTTGAAAAATGAATGAATATTTTATTTTTACTAGTAATTAATTCTCATCAATATGGATTGTAGTGTAATAGTAAAATTGTTTTACTCTTTAATCAAAATTAAAAATCTTAAACACAAGTCTGACTAGCATAAAGATAAAATTTTATTGAAAACCCAAATCTTTGATACTGAGATATCTATGTCAAAAGTAACGAATAGGGAGTAGTTATTGTTTTGTTGACCTAAAATATTGGCATTTCACACTATGGACTAACGCGTCAGCAACACCCAACTGCTTATTTCAAAAAATCAATTGATCCCACTTGTAAACCAACTGTATTTCTTTGACTCACTCACCAACAAATTAAAGTCAAACAACATTACTTAATTTGTCTCATTTTCATACACGCAAAACTTATTTTCCAACCTATATATATATATATAAGTGTGTGAGAAGCAACACCAACCAAAGTGTATCATATTCTTTCCAACTTCTAACTTCAAAAAATCTTTCTTTCAAAGTAGTTCTAAATTTGATATACAATTTGTAAAAATCTTCAATAATATGACATC